CTGAAAGAGGTTTCAGCACCACTTCTGATGGCCCGGGGGCAGCATCTGGCTTCTCCCAGACACAGAGATGACACTTGTTTCTCTGCAGGGAGTCAAGGGCAGGAGGGTGACTCCTGCTGCATTAATGGAATGGCAGAGGATCTCTTGGGTCCCCAGGATGGATCAGCACTCGGGGATACAGGATGCAGCTGCAAGCACAGATTTCCCTGCAAAGTCTGCAGGGAGACAAGCTCTGCAGAGGAGATTGTGCCCCAATGGATGGGATTGCAGAGGCTCCCTCAGGACCCCAGCATCAATCAGTAACCAGGAATAGACACAAAAGGTTCCTTCGAAGATTTTGGGGGGAGTGTTCTGTAGGAAGGGGACAGTGTCACCCCACCAGGGCAAGGCTGGCAAGTGGGAGGCTGCTCCAGGGCTCTGCAAGAGGCCTCGTGCTCTGCTCGGCCCCAGCACTGGCTGGTCCCAACAGCCCCGGCTGCCCCCGGCCCTGGGCAGCTCTGCTGCCNATTCTGTAATTTACAGTCCACCGGCCTTAACAGAACCTTGATTACAAAAATATATATGAATATAACATGCAATACTATTAAAAGAGTAAATTACTACAACTATTACTACTTCTAATTTGATGAGTAAATTACTTTACTACTACTAATCTATTACAATGGTCAGGGTTTGGGGGTTTAGAGCTCAGGGTGGGGATTAGGCAGAACTTTGGGAAGTTTGTTGTTCTGCTGGCAGTGTCTGGGTCATGATTAGGGTTTTGGGCTGGGTTAGGATTAAAGCTTGGCTTTTCATACCAACAATGCAGGTTTGGGATTGGGGTGGGCATTAGAGGACAAATAAGAGTCTGGAGTTCTGGGTTTGGGCTTTGCCTTTGAGGTCAGGTTGAGGTTGCGATTAGAGCAGTGGATTCCTTTCAGTGGGTGGGGCAGCACTTTTGGATTGCGGCTTGAGGTTAGAAAGAGTGTAGAAGTCCATCAGGAGTGTTTTCAGAGTCAGTGTTTCAGCACCCTCAGCATTACCTGAACCTGTTTTTACCTCATAAAAATCGTTCCCCTCTGTTGGATAAGCCTCTCTTTCCTTCCCCAAATATCCAATCCTTTTTGTCTCAGTTCCTCCTAATCTCCCCCAAACTTCCATCTGAGTGGGTTCAGCTTTGTGATGACACTGTGCAACCTCATGGAATCAAGGGGCCATTGTGGCACTGCAGGGCCTCATGGAAAGAAAGGAACTCAGGGACACTGTGAAATCTTGTGGAACCAGGGGACCATTTAACGTCTGGGGCCTTGGGGAACAAAAGGAACCCTGAAACATTTTGGAACCTCATGGAACCAGGGGGCCATTGTGTCACTGCAGTGCCTCATGGAAACAAGGAAACCCTGGGACATTGCAAATCAAGGAGGCATTGTGACACTGAAGGTCCTATGGACCCAAGGACACTGTGGAAACTCATGGAATCCAGGGGCCAGTTTGGCACTACAGGGCCGTATGGAGCCAAGGGAACCCATGGACAAATTGGAACCTCATGGAATCAAGGGGCCATTGGGATCCTGCAGGGCCTTATGGCCCCAAAGGGACCCTGTTCCACTGCGGACCCTCATGGAACTAAAGGAACACTGGGACACTGCAGAACCTTGTGGAATCAGGAGGCCATTAGGGCAGTGCAGGGCCTCGTGGAACCAAGGGGCCATTGGGACACTGTGGAAACTCCTGGAATCAAGGGGCCATTGGGACACTACAAAGCCTCGTTGAAGCCAAGGAATTCGGAGACTGCGCATCCTCATGGAACCAAGGGGCCATCAGGATATGCAGGGCCTCGTGGAACCAAAGGATTCCTGAGACAGTTTGGAACCCCATGGAATCAAGGGTCCATCGTGACATGTGGGGCCTCCTGGAAGCAAAGGAACCCTAAGAAGTTTTGTGAGAACAAGTTAAGGCAGCAGCAGCTGCATTCAGTTAATCAGGATCAACAAAGAAGTGTTTTGGCCTTGACTGGTGTTTTCGGTCAAGAGAGTGCTGTTTGCCAAAGTGGAAACCACTTGGAACACTCTGCATGGTAGCCTGTGTTTTTCTCTGGTGGCTGAACACAGCCAGCACATGAGGCGAGGGGAATGTGTTGGATCAGGGCACTGCTTTGGATTATCTGTTGTCATAATGTTATAGTCAAAGAGACCACAAATAATTTTAAAATTTAAAATTCCAAAATTTATTAAAGGCAAATGAGCAAAACAGCGCTGGGCGGCCGGGGAGTCTCTGCTCCACCAACGGTCCGCAAACTCAAAAAGCCAAAGCCCGCTTCTTTTATACTTGTTGCAATCCCCTCCCCCTTAGTCTTGTTCCACTTCATCATTGGTTCTCGCTGTGTGGACCTCATTCTGTTGCTAGGGGCCAGCCAACAGTCCGGTTAGTCAGCAGTCCTCAATTCCCTCCGTGTCGCAATCCCCAGATGAAGGCAGTAGATCCTCTTGCTGACCCCCCCCCCCCTTTTTGCTTCATGCTTTTTCTTTCTTATAAGTGCACTTAAAGCATTACAGCTAGCATAACAGGATACATCTTACAATGGCAACACAACATTGCGGTTTGACATTTTGCAACTTGACATTTTGCAACCTAAGTAAAGTGTTAACCACATCCTTGCAAACTTTATTATTACGAGCTCAATTTGATCAGCAAATTATTTATCCTTGCCTTTATCAACCATTACAATAAGAAAGGTAAATGGAGATTGTTTTGATATGTATTTAAATCTTCCTTGAAAATACAACTGATAGAAAACAATGTAAAAGAAAAAAAAAGAAAAAAAAGAAAAAAAAAAAAAAGAGAAAAAGGAGAAAAAAAAGAAATAAGAAAGGAAAAAAGGGAAAAAAGAGAAAAAAGAAAAAGAGAGAAAAAGGAGGAAAAAAGAAAGAAAAAAGAAAAAAGTGAAAAAAAGGAAAAAAAGGAGAAAAAAAGAGAGAGAAAAAAAGAAAAAAAGAAAAAAGAGAAAAATAAAAGAAGACAGAAAACCAGAAAAAAACCATAAATGTGGTCTTATCACTTGTGCCTATTCCAGGTGCAAGAAATGTGTGCTCTGTATTAAAAACTGTACTTTTAAAACAAAAAAGGACAAATGTGACACCCCAAGTAGACAAAGCTGTATTTACTCTTAGTTTTTTGAATTTGAATCAACAACTATTGAACAAAAACCCACAAGAAGACACCTAATGAGAAGATCCTATCAAGTGCTCAGCATGGGGAAGGGCTGTGCTTGTGTTCTGTCTCCCACAGGACCCTGCTGGCTTCCAGCCCCTCTGATGGAACCTTATCCTGAGTGGAGCTGGCCCGCAATCCGATCCTGCAGATGCAGAGTCTGTCCCTCAAGAATTCCGGGAGGAGGCAGGGAATGCTGAGCAAGCAAGTCCTGCCCGGATGTCCCATTGGGAAGACACTGTTCTAGGGGGAATTCACTGGGTCTACCAACTCTTACTGACTGGCTTAATGACTCTGTCGTGGTGTGTCCCTGTCACTCAGATCTCTTCTTGGCCACCTGACGTTGTGATTTGTGTGACTGACAATACCTTTACCACCCTTGTAAGTAATCCTTGTTATTTTAGTTGTATCACAGATCAAAACTTATCTACCCTCCATTTATCATTAATAATTCCCATGGGCAGAAGAGCCAAACTGGGGCTCCCAGGGAAGCAGAAGCTGGGAGGATGATGCAGGATACAGTGAATGAAGGAAACTGTGAAATGCAGAAATCCTCAGTGGATGGCTGATTGCTTGGATCATCTCTGCAGCAATCCCGGCAGCTGCCGCAGCCACGGCTCCTGCTGCACTGACCATTCAGTGCAGGCCATGCCTGCAGTGCCAGTGTATGGGCACTGTGGCAGCATCAGGAGCAGGGGTTTCAGAATCTGCCTGTTTTCAATATTCCAAGTCCTCTGGGAGCACATGGGAAAAGCCCCAAGACAAGAAGCCCGGGTCCTGGCCCTCTTGGCCGTGAACTCTGCGTGTCCAAACAAAACAGGGGCAGAGGTGGGACCAAGCAGAGTCACTCTGCACCTGCACTGAGTTCATGGGAATGCAAAGGGAGGATGGACCTTGGCTGAGTGCCTGGAGAGAGAGAAGGTTGTTTGCCGAAGTGGAAATGCACTTGAACCAGCCTGCATGACCAGCCTGTGTTTTTCTCTGGTGGCTGAACACAGCCAGCACATGAGGGGAGGGGAATGTGTGGGATCAGGGCACTGCTTTAGGGCGATGCTGGGAATTCTGGTGGACTAAAAGACAAACAGCGGGTGCTGCTCACAAGAGAAGAGGAATAAAAGGGGACACAGAAAAGTGTCGTCAAACAAGTCCTGAAATGGAACTCTGTGTGTGCAGCCTCATTTTATCCTTCAACAACCAAAGGAAAGGGGGTAAAAAGTGGGGGTTGGGACCCCAAAACTGTTCATGGGGAAACTGGGGACTGAGGGGACAATGGGAAAGTGGGAGGAACAGGGAGAAGGGTGGAAAAGGGGGGGTGGTCTGCGGGTCCGATCGTCCCATGAGGGTCTTTGGGCACAGGGGGGTTGGCATAAAAGGGTGGCCCCCTGAGCTCCCAACTTCCTGTGGGGTGCTGGGGGCTGCTGGATCCGATCTCACCCTTGGTTTATGACAACACTTTCAGTTTAGAGGAATTACAAAGGTGTGACTGAACCACTTTTGTCCCCCAGGTTTTAATGATGGCAAATCAGATCCAGTGATAGAAATGAATTATTTAGGGTTCCAAATGATCAGACAAAAGATCTTCATCAGAATTATTTACTGCACAACATAAACACTAAAACTACCAGGAGTACAGAATAAGATAGGACAGTGCTCTACACTAAAGCAATTGTTGAAACAATTCTACTAAAGCTGGCACAAAAGCAATAATTCTTAATTAGAGATGGATGGAACTCCCCCACACCAACGCTCGTGGGGAGATCTCTGCTTTCAACCTCCAGGACTAACTTTGGAGGGTCCCCAGCCAAGGCAGGAATATCCCCACGACCCCCAGAAAGGGTTCTGTTGGCAGAAGCTGCCCCTGGGAAAGGGGACTGGCCCTTTGTGGTCGAAAGGGATGGACTGACAGTCACTGGACTCCAGGGGTTGCCTCAGCATCAGGGGCTTCATTCGGGATGGAAGCAGCGGCCGAAGCTCTTCCCACAGTCGGGGAACTGATAGGGCTTCTCTTATCAGTGGGTCTGTTGGTGTGAGATCAAGGCAGAGCTCTGGGTGAAGCTTTTCCCACACTCCCCACACTTGTAGGGCCTCTCCCCGGTGTGGATCCGCCGGTGGGTGATAAGGGTGAAGTTCCGGCTGAAGCCCTTCCCACAGTCGGTGCAGCGGAAGGGCCTCTCATCCGTGTGTGTCTGCTCATGCCTGAGGAGAGTTGAGCTGCGCTGAAACCTCTTCCCACATTGCAAGCACTTGTAGGGCCGTTCCCCGGTGTGGATGTGTCGGTGGGAGCGGAGGGTGGAGCTGTCACTGAAGCTCTTCCCACATTCCCCACATGTGTAGGGCCGTTCCCCAGTGTGGATGGCCTGGTGTCGGATCAGGTTGGAGCTTTGGTTGAAACTCTTCCCACATTCCTCACACGTGTAGGGCTGTTCCCCAGTGTGGATGTGCTGGTGGGTGAGGAGGTTGGAGCTGTTATTGAAGCTCTTCCCACATTCCCCACATGTATAGGGCCGTTCTCCAGTGTGGATGTGCTGGTGGCGGATCAGGTGGGCGCTCTTCTTGAAGCTCTTCCCACATTCCAAGCACAGGAAGGGCTTCTCCCTGCTGGGAGGCTGCTCAGGGACCACCAGATCAGAGCTCCGCCTCAAGCTCCGGCCGCCTTCCTGGCACAGGCTGAGTCTTTCCTCCTCAGAGCACTCTTGACTGGCTTTGCAGCCCCTCCTGGGGGGGGATCTCCGGCCCTTTTCCTCC